AAATACAAATAAGTATAGCAAAACAGGAGTAATGAGTCAGTAGAGTTCCAAGGCCAAGTTGCCATCAACACAAGGTGCAATTGGTAGTCTGATACAAGACTCTAACCCTAACCATAGGAGCTAAATTCTAATCTTAACCCCCCGTATTTGCTTCTTTAACTCTAATCCTTACCTATTAGCCAGTATGCCCTGAGCTGACTCCTATTCAAAACCCAGGAGGAACCAAAACTGGGATTCACCCCCTGCCTGCTTACCCTTCTGAACCTGCTTCCACCTTCCTTACCCCAGAGGAATGCTGAGGGGGTTTTAGGACACACAATACACCTTAACGGGTGGTTTGGATTGCTTGATGCCAATTTATTATCCACTTCTGATCCCTTCAATGTCCATCCATCCATCCATTCGCTTCCGCTTATCCTTTTCAGGGTCGCGGGGGGCGCTGGAGCCTATCCCTGCAATGTCTCCTTGCTAATTTCTTCTCCCCATCACAGACTTAGTAGAGTAGTATAAGGTGCAGGGTACTAGTGGTGACATGTTTGTCTGTGCATTATCTTGACCAAACCATTTTGGCCGACGGACCATTTCGGAGAGAGTCTTTAACAGAAAATGCGTACCCCTGTTCCTAATTCTTACCCTGCTGCTGCAACTGTGAGCAGAGATCAGGCAACTGCCACGCTGACTGCCTGAATGAATGCTGCAAGAATTATTCTATAAATACTAAAACTAAAAATTTTAATGTCCAATTTTGAAACCATAACATTTTTAGGCTAGTATAGAAGTTGACCAGAAAATATTGTATAGGTTGAACCTTACTGGCTCTGAAGTTTATCTGGTTCAAGTAGAAATCTAAAGAGAATTAAAATTAAAATCTAAGCCACAGTATAAGTTCAAAAAGTTCACTCCTGAGCGTCTGCTTTCTTTCAAATGCACATTTTAATTAATGTTCCTTTCTCTCTCTTCAGGTGACGAAAGGCATGTTTGGTGCTAGAAAGAAATTTGTAGAGTTCGTTGACGTTGTCGATAACGACTTTACCGATGAAAGCATGTACTACAACCAGCCGACGATGTTTCCACATCGGTCGGATAAAGATGTGAGTTTTGTGTCCCGGTACACCTTTCTTACCTGTTGAGATTTTTTTTCCACATTTATCGTACTCTGTTCTGTCCTTGAATGTTTTCCTCCAGATGCTGTCCTCTCCCTCACCATCGTCATCGGGTCAGCTGTCGCAGCTCGGTGCGAGTTTATATGGTCCACAAAGTGAGCGCTGACCTTTATCTTACGGCCTGTTACATCAGTTTTGTCATTTGTGATGGACTTAAAATCGTAAAGACAATTCTGCTTTTTACCTCTGAACTAGAGTTACTTAAAGTTTGATTGTGTTATTTGAACAGATAACTGAAAAGCTTTCTTTTGTCTTTGCGCAGGTGCACTCGGCTTCTCAGTAAGAGGCATGGGAAACAACACACCTCAGTTAAACCGAAGTCTAACGCAAGGTTCGCAGCTACCGAGTCATATCACCCCCACAACAGGAGTCCCCACCATGTCTCTCCATACCCCACCATCACCAAGCAGGTGAGTGTGAACTTGACCGATTAATCGTGCTGTTTAAGAAAACTTTGAATTCACTAAATTGGACGATGATGTTTTAACAGGGGGACGTTACCGATGAATTCGAGGAACGTGCTGAATCACTCTCAGGTCGGTCAAGGCATTGGGATAAGCGGCAGGACCAACAGCATGGGCAGCTCGGGGCTGGGAAGCCCCAACCGTAGCTCACCCAGTATCATCTGTATGCCCAAACAGCAGCCAGCACGCCAGCCCTTTACCATAAACAGGTAGATGGATTTAGTATTTATTGCACATATCCACCAGTGTTTCAAAGGGACATGGCCCCGTACTATGATGCAAATTCAACATACACAGGATGTCTTTCCGCTATCTGGGTTCACTTATCTTTAAACTGGTGATTGGGCCAAGCAGTCACAAGAAGCCGATTATCAACTTAACAAGGCAACCCAGGGTTTCTCAATCTAGCTACCAGCATGAAAGAGGTGCTGTTCACAGCTTTTGACCAATCTGAAATGTGGATAAGTCTGTTGGCAGCAGAGCAGCTGATTTTGCAGAAAATGACAAAACTGTAATATGAGGAAAAATCTGAAGGAAATAATACATGCTGAACCCAAACCTTTATATGCATTTTGTGTGTGTGTGTGTGAGAGAGAGAGAGTTTTTTTAAAAAAAAAAAAATAGTAGCGTAGTATTAAAAGCGCCATATGAATGTATGTGCGCTTTAAGTGTTTGATCAGGAAGACTCCCAGAGTCCTACTGTATTAATAAAGTTTAGCCTATTACAGCCTGAAAGAAAGCGGGTTAGAATGCAAGCTGCTGAAGTTAACAGGCATCTCACGGCTATCACAGCTCAATCAAGAACAGGAGAAACTAATACAGTGAATATTTACTTTACATTAAAGTTTAGATGTACACAAGATCGGGTTTTTTTAATCTTTCAGCTTTATGAGATTTTGAGTCTGAGATTTTAAAAAAAGAAACAAAAAAAGTTCAAAACAAATAAGTAAAAATAGGTTCCCCCGTTTGTAAATTTAGAACAATAAACTTAGACAAAAATAAACTTATGTCTAAGAATCTGTTTCTAATCCAACATAATGAACTACACAACTTTATCCATGCACTGAAATCCAAGGAACAGTGACGTTTTGCAGAAAACTGATTGATGAGTAGGCACTGGTTTTGTACCTGTTTATCTTTAACTGTGAACATAACATGCTCTGAAACAGGTTAGGATGTAAGTTACCATGGTGATGTACCACCTTTGTAATAATGAAAAGCCAGGGTTAACCTTGAAGTTACCTGGATGAGCTCAAATCTTGCTTCATAGTGCTGGCATGGGTTACATTCGGTGTATCCTTTTGTGTGTACAGTTGCTTTCTAAAACATGTTTTTCTAACTAAGGAAATGTTTGTATCCTTTTCTTATTTTTTTCTGTCTCTGCAGCATGTCAGGATTTGGGATGAACCGCAATCAAGCTTTCATGAACAACTCATTATCAAGCAACATCTTCAACGGCACAGGTTGGTGTTCACTTTTGTCTAACCATCAGTTAACCATTAGGTTTCAGCTACTTTTAGACTAACATTGCTCTGTCTGTGTGTGTGTTTAAAGCATAAAAAACAGCCACAGCCTGATAAATAATACTGTTTCCTGCACAAAATCACAGCTTTCCATTAATGCTGCTGTTAGGGTCTTACAAGAGTTAACAGCAGCAAACAGTGCCACCCATCATACATAAACTGTGTATCCTTGAAATGAATTGCAGGAAATTAGGTCTGAATAAAAACCTGATTAAACTGATCTGACTCTTTTTAACCTGTTACATAAATACACATCAAAAAAGGGGAGAGCTGCTACATCCTTAATCTACTTTATAATAAGGCTACATTATTACATATTTACAAAAATAGTGTATTTAAGGATTCACATGTTTGTATTGTCCTTGTGTAACAGATGGGAGTGAAAATGTAACAGGACTGGATTTGTCAGACTTCCCTGCATTAGCAGATAGGAGTCGGAGAGAAGGGACCGGAAACCCTACACCAGTTCTCAACCCACTGACTGGACGAGCGCCTTATGGTAAGCCATTAGACTGTAGAAAGCGTCTTATTATTTTCCTCACATAAATCACTGACAGCACATTTCATCAACATTGGAAATGGATTTCAGCTGAAAACTATCAGATGAGCTTCATAATGTTAGCTAAGCTTTTGTTACACTGCACACGACAGACTATCATTGCTGATTGTACCATTTTGTTTGTTTTTGTTTTTTTCTTTGCTGTTACACTTTCATCATCAAGTTGGCATGGTGACAAAGCCATCAACTGAGCAGACACAGGATTTCTCCATCCACAATGAGGACTTCCCTGCACTGCCTGGGCCAAACTATAAGGATCCCACGTTGAACAACGATGACAGCAAAACTGTAAGTCACACAGCACACTGGCAGGACTTTTTTATTTTTTTTGTGAGAAGGGTACAGATCAAAAGAATTGAAATGAATAAATACATTATTTTTCCTGCCTATTGACTTTTTTCCCTTCCCTTTAGAACTTGAACTCCACAAACAAGAGCACATCCAATGCAGATGGGCCCAAGTTCCCCGGAGACAAGACGGCCTCAGCACAGAACAACAACCAGAAGAAAGGGATTCAGGTGTTGCCTGATGGTGAGTCT